GAGTTTCTACTTAAAAGTCGTATGTGAGTCTACCTTCGTGGACCATCCAGCATGTCATATGTGAGTCTACCTTCGTAGACCAGCCGGCATGTCATCTGTGAGTCTACCTTCGTGGACCAGCCGGCATGTCATCTGTGAGTCTACTTTCGTGGACCATCCAGCATGTCATATGTGAGACTACCTTCGTGGACCATCCAGCATGTCATATGTGAGTCTACCTTCGTGGACCATCCAGCATGTCATCTGTGAGTCTACTTTCGTGGACCATCCAGCATGTCATATGTGAGACTACCTTCGTGGACCATCCAGCATGTCATATGTGAGTCTACCTTCGTGGACCAGCCGGCATGTCATCTGTGAGTCTACCTTCGTGGACCATCCAGCATGTCATCTGTGAGTCTACCTTCGTGGACCATCCAGCATGTCATCTGTGAGACTACCTTCGTGGACCATCCAGCATGTCATCTGTGAGTCTACCTTCGTGGACCATCCAGCATGTCATCTGTGAGTCTACCTTCGTGGACCATCCAGCATGTCATCTGTGAGTCTACCTTCGTGGACCATCCAGCATGTCATATGTGAGTCTAAATTCGTGGACCATCCAGCATGTAATCTGTGAGTCTACCTTCGTGGACCATCCAGCATGTCATCTGTGAGTCTACCTTCGTGGACCATCCAGCATGTCATCTGTGAGTCTAACTTCGTGGACCATCCAGCATGTAATCTGTGAGTCTACCTTCGTGGACCATCCAGCATGTCATATGTGAGTCTACCTTCGTGGACTATCCAGCATGTAATCTGTGAGTCTACCTTCGTGGACCATCCAGCATGTAATCTGTGAGTCTACCTTCGTGGACTATCCAGCATGTCATCTGTGAGTCTACCTTCGTGGACCATCCAGCATGTCATATGTGAGTCTAAATTCGTGGACCATCCAGCATGTAATCTGTGAGTCTACCTTCGTGGACTATCCAGCATGTAATCTGTGAGTCTACCTTCGTGGACCATCCAGCATGTCATCTGTGAGTCTACCTTCGTGGACCACCTTGTCTGTCATTTCTCCATAAGAACTCTAAATGGTCCTGACTAGTTTTCCTGGTATTTTATAATACTGGAGAAGTTTTCGTTTTAACAAAGTTTGTCTGTCCAGGTTATTAAAAGTCTTTTCGTAGTCTATAAAATGTATATAAATGCGGGAGTTCTATTCAATGGACTGTTCTACAATGAGTGTTAGTGTTGCAAATTGATCTGTGCATGATCTGTTTATGCGGAAGTCAGCCTGTTGATCTCGTAGCTATATGTCGACCTGGTCTTTCATTCTATTCAAAATAATTATGTGACCGTTCTTCTTTCAAAACTTAGAATGATACAAATTTATCTGCTTTCAACGGTGGGGCAAGATTAACTATCGACCATGACACTCTAAGATTTACTATAATCCCAGGCACTACAAGACTGACTATCATTCCTGGCACTACAAGACTGACTATCATTCCTGGCACTACAAGACTGATTATCATTCCAGGCACTACAAGACTGACTATCATTCCAGGCACTACAAGACTGACCATCATCCCAGGTACTACAAGCCTGACTATCATCCCAGGCACTACAAGCCTGACTATCATCCCAGGCACTACAAGCCTGACTATCATATCAGGCACTAAAAGACTGACTATCATCCCAGGCACTACAAGACTGACTATCATCACAGGCACTACAAGACTGACTATCATTTCAGGCACTACAAGCCTGACTATCATCCCAGGCACTACAAGACTGTCTATAATTTTAGCCACTACAAGACTGACTATCATCCCAGGCACTACAATACTGACTATCATCCCATGCACTTGACTATCATCCCAGGCACTACAAGACTGACTATCATCCCAGGCACTACAAGCCTGACTATCATCTCAGGCACTACAAGACTGACTATCATCCCAGGCACTACAAGACTGACTATCATCACAGGCACTACAAGACTGACTATCATTTCAGGCACTACAAGCCTGACTATCATCCCAGGCAATACAAGACTGTCTATAATTTTAGGCACTACAAGACTGACTATCATCCCAGGCACTACAATACTGACTATCATCCCATGCACTACAAGACTGACTATCATCCCAGGCACTACAAGACTGGCTATCATCCCATGCACTACAAGACGGACTATCATCCCATGCACTACAAGACTGACTATCATCCCATGCACAACAAGACTGACTATCATCCCAGGCACTACAATGCTGACTATCATCCCAGGCACTACAATACTGACTATCATCCCATGCACTACAAGACTGACTATCATCCCATGCACTACAAGACTGACTATCATCCCATGCACTACAAGACTGACTATCATCCCAGGCACTACAAGACTGGCCCGCACAAGATTTTTATTAAGTATTAAAGGCCCGCCTTACATTGTGAGTTGTGCAGGCCTGCTTTAGTAGATTTTATATCTTCATTCATTTCTCTTCTTGAAGTAACATCTACTATATTATTTAAAGATGAAAATGTGTCCGTATGAATGTTTGTAACTCATACGTTTCTATGTGTTCCAACTTGACATACAGAGTTATTACACTTCATTTTCCAGAAGGAAATACTGTTGGGGTTTGAATGTGAACATTGATTTCCATTTCAGGATGTTTGGTCCAAAGTTGTCTTATTCTAGAATAATCTTTATAGATAAAATTACAGTACTGCAAAAGGCGGCACGGGGACATTCTCTCCCCGACACTCATGGCTTGATGGAAGCGACACTCTCTCGCTTCGTTACCGAACGACCAAGTGGCCGCGAAGTCAAAGCGTGACAGGTCGTAACTTACTCGTAATACATATTTTAGTTCGATTTTTGACCAGAAGGTCCAGCTTTTAGCCAAGAACGTGATTTTTAACTCCAAATCAAAGTCTAGAGATTGATCAGGTAACAAACCCACCAACGTTAGGCGGGTCGTGCCTTCCAGGAGACCATGCCACGCTTGATCTCAGCATAAATTATGAGGGACAATGGTGAGGGGTTAAAGTTCACGGTTGTTGTTTTTTTTTTTGTGTGTCTTAAATCAATGTCAAGGTCTGTAAACATTGTGCATCATATGCATGGTGTATGGCAACTAAGCTACACACACACACACACACTGCTAACCTAAACTGAAATATGTGTGTGTGTGGGGGGTGGGAGTCATTTCAAGCCATAAAATTGACCTGAATTTCGCCAACTTGCTGTTTGACGTGATGATGTAACATGACGGTCCACCAAATTAAGTTACTGTGGGTTCCTGGCGTGGCACAAAAATATTCATGTTGTCTTTCTTTTTTGTTTTTAAATTTTGCTGAATTGGTAATTGCGGTTTATGATTAGTTTCCGTTTGTAACAAAGTTACACTTAACGATTTTGTGGTCACGAGCTTTTATCGCCTTTCACACGTCCACGATATCATTGTCACGTAACACGAGTAAATAGATGAACTTAACCATTGTCAGCTACGCCTCGTGGCACGTCACGCTCTGGTAAACAATGCCGAATCACCCCACGGGTCACTATAAATAGATACGCTTGGAAGTCCTCCTCATCACTCCTTCTGCTAGACTCTCACCTGAGACACCTGCCCAAGTCAAAGAGTCACAATGAAAGGTGAGTACTGAATCAATTTTCTCACTGTCTGCAACTGACATTGTGAGATTCACTGAGATGGGGCTCATCTTTGTTCTGTTTCGACCCATGTCGCTTCAGGGCCGCCTTAACAACATAGGATGCCCTGAGCACAGAACTGCACTTGGGCCCACTAGCAACACAACATGGGATGCGCTGAGCACAGAACTGCACTTGGGCCCACTAGCAACACAACATAATTTGGCGATTTATAAAACTTGTTTTTTTAAAAAAAAAGACTTTCGAAGACGACCCACTAAAAAGTAGAACATTATTTTCTTTAAATTTCTTAAATTTCATTACCCACATACAGTCAGGCCAGCAGAACAGGTTACAAACTTACAAACCCCATGAAGTTGCTTCTATAAGATAGTCGTTGATAAAAAAAAAGAGAAAAAAAGAAAAAAAAAGAAGAAAAAAGAGGATGCAGACATTCATATGAATCAGTATAAAGTGAACAGTTGTGGGCAAAAGGATAAGTCTGGATAAAGACTTTGGATTAAACGGGATTCTTATCGCTGTGCCTCTTAACCTTAGTCCAAGTGCTGTAAATAGCCCGTGTTTATTTATATTTACAGGCAATAGAAGTTCATTCTAAAAAAATTAACATAGAATTGTATCACTTTAAGTAACTTGTTAACAACACACAATGTATCACTTTCACCTCTGAAAACTTAAGAAATAAAGCGCGGCCAAATGCCCCCATGAATATAAACAAGTCTTAATTACGTTAAAACTCACGTGACTCACTTTCAACCTCTGATTGGACGACATTTAAGAAATATGCAATGTGACAATTTTCCCATAAAACCTATTTTGATCTCGCATCTTTTTTGCACTTGATCACCTTCACCTCAGAACAGACTACAAGATCAATTTCCCCCACCCACCCACCCGGTGTTTCCTTCTGTAAAGGACGAAACTATTGACCCCCTCCCCCCCAGTCGTAACAGGAGAACTTTTTTTTACGCAAAGGCTTGCTTCCTCGTTTCCAACAGTCTCAGAAATGCAAACCCATTTTTATTTCCACTTCTAGTATCCATTCCATAGATATAACTTTTTTTAATTCACACCAAATGTTTGTCACAAACTAGAAAAGCATTTTTGCTGGCATTCCAAGCATGTTTATTAAGTTTCTCATCCGACTTTTTACAGACATTTTTTTAAAGATTTAACAAGTACTTTTATTTAACTGACCTAAGTGTGCCCCGGGGGGTGGGGGGGGGGGCAAAATTGTGGATGAATATTTCCTAGTGTAGGTTTCCGGAACAAATGGGAGCCGGCATGACAGCCGCACCAAAATTATTTTTAGAAACATAAATCGAAAAATAAGAGCAGTACACATAACTTGAACTGAATTAAAGAGAAATGTTGAAACAAAATAAGTTTAGGGCATAAAGTGTTTAATCAATCAAATGTATCAAATATAATAATAATAATGTGTTTAAATACATTTCCTTCAATTTATTTCCAATGTATAACAAGCGCCAATTGAATCAAGTTCAACAAACAAAAAATGCAATGTCCACAAAAAATCAATTAAGCTCAAGTTTGATTGGCGTTGTCAGTCATCGGCACATATGCGAAACATGCAGTAGGTGAACTCCTTGTAGCAAGGGGAACAGTGACAGCAGCAGTAGCATGGTGGTCGATTTGGTGGTGGGTCTGGTATTGTGGCGTAGTTATCTGCGGTGAAGAACGTGAAATTAGTTTTTTTTTTGTTTTCCAGATATGTAAGCATAATGTTGTCATAAAAGAAAGACATCCCAAACTAAAGTCACTAAAGCAGCGGTTCTCAACCCGTCTTGGGGTCGAACGACTTTTTAACAGGGGTCGCCTATTACCATCGGAAAACATTTATGAAGTAGCAACGAACATACTTTGATGGTTGGCGGTCACCACAACATGAGGAACTGTATTAAAAGATTGCGGCGTTAGGAAGGTTGAGAACCACTGTACTAAAGGCACCAAACCGATATGAAACCCTATTTATTTATTTATTTAGGCATTTTTATATAGCGCTTATCATAAAGCTCTAAGCGCTTTACAATTATTAAAACATGTGAACTAAGTAAAATAAAAATGAGACACTAGGATAGTAACTACTATTCTATAGAAACAATGAAAATGGCTATAAAACGAGGACACTTTGACACTTCAGGATCAACCCGAAACAGAAAATGAGGTAGGGCAAGGAGGGTGCATCACAGGTCACCCTATATGGTTTGCCCCTAAAATGTAAGTCTTAACCTTCGAATCTGTAAGACCCTATTACTATGTTTTCCCACTATCTTTCAAGAGCCAAGAGATCACTCCGATACCCACAACCCCCCCCCCACCTTTAACATGGTTAATGCGCCATGGTCTAACATGTACAAGGACACCTAATTCACAGGGGCACCATATTCACAGCAACACCACATTCACAGGGACACCACATTTACAGGTGCACCTCAATCACAGGTGCACCTCAATCACAGGTGCAGAACAGACAGGTGAAGAACATACAGGTGCAGAACATACAGGTGCAGAACATACAGGTGCAGAGCAGACACACGTGCAGAGCAGACACAGGTGCAGAACATACAGGTGCAGAGCAGACACACGTGCAGAGCAGACACAGGTGCAGAGCAGACACAGGTGCAGAGCAGACACAGGTGCAGAACAGACAGGTGCAGAACAGACACGTGCAGAGCAGACACACGAGCAGAAAAGACACAGGTGCAGAACAGACATAACAGACAGGTGCAGAGCAGACACGCGTGCAGAGCAGACACAGGTGCAGAACAGACAGGTGCAGAACACACAGGTGCAGAACAGACAGGTGCAGAACAGACAGGTGCAGAGCAGACACAGGTGCAGAGCAGACACAGGTGCAGAACAGACACAGGTGCAGAACAGACACAGGTGCCGAACAGACACAGGTGCAGAACAGACACAGGTGCATAAAATTTACAGGGACACACAATTAACAAGAGCACAAAATTAATAGGGACACCACATTCACAGGGACACCAAATTTACATCACGTTAATTAATTTACTTGTCATTGTTGACTAATTACCAAATCATAAAAGTGATGGCCATAATATAAAGTTGATCCTTCCGAAGCATGCCAGTGTTGAATTTTCAAATTTAATAATCCAAACAAATAGTTTGTTCCTACAACATCCATTTGTGAACCAAATAATGTCTTCTTAAAGCATAATAAACTGTTTGTAATGACGAAATCATGGCCAAAGGTTTACCACTTTCAGCCTAGTGAGCTGGGTCCCCATACCGAGAGCAGGGCAATTTGTCTCCATACCACATGATCAAATCTCTCGAGTCCTTGATTTTACCTAATGAAACCCATTCACTTTTTACAATGTACACTTCAATTCCCCACACTGATGGACTCACCGCTATTTCATTTTTTCTGAATAAGAATCCTAATCCTAAATTTCCAACAAGTGCCATTGTACGTTTGACAAAATTGTTTCCGCAGCTTAATTGGTCTGAATTTAATGGCGAATTTTTCTATCAGATCAGTGGCGTTGCAATGGGAACGAAAATGAGACCACGTTATGCATGTTTATTTATGGGCCATTTGGAACATCTTTGGAGGGAACACTACCAAGGTCCTTTCCCAGAATACTACAGGAGATACATAGATGACTATAGGGATTACCAATATAGACATAACACAGCTAGAAAGTTTTACTGACTTCCTTGGAGATTTCCATCCAACAATTAAATTCATGATGATCCATAAAAGCACCATCAATTTTGGACTTACAAATTAACCTTAATGAGAACAAAATATCTACGTCCATTTTCTATAAACAAACAGACAGTCATAGTTTCTTGCTATATTCATCATCCCATCCTCAATCGTGTAAAAACTCCATCCCATTTTCTCAGTTGCTGAGACTCAGAAGACTATGTAGTAATGATGAGGATTTTGGGGAAAGGATGGCTGAAATGTTGGATTTTTTCCGACGCAGGTTATACCCTGAAGAAATTTTAAAAGCATCTTTCACTCGAGTTAAAGGTATGACTAGTCAGGATTCTTTTAAAGCTACTCATTCTGACAGTAAGGAGAGATCTAAATTTATTCTAATTTTTCATCTCCATAACCTAAAAGCTCGTTTTCTGGTTCTCAAAAACCACTCAGATATTATGGCAGAACCTGTCACTAATGAGATTTTCAGAAAACCTACTGTTGCTTTTCAGACGGACAAGAGCCTTAGGGACATGATAGTTAGAAGCCACCTCCCTGCTATCAAAGCACATAGAGGCACCAAAAGTTGCAACTGTAGCCGTTGTAACTCATGTCCTAACGTGATCGAAGCTGATAAAACCACGTTCGCCCTGGAATTATTCAGAATAAAAGATGGCTTTAACTGCACAAGTCGCAACGGGATTTACACCATTTGCTAAAAGTGAGGTAAATTATATGTAGGAGAGACAGGTCGTCGCTTTGGGGACCGGTTCAGAGAGCACCTCTATAACATAAATAAACACGCTCTCTGTCAGGTCTCCAAACATTTCGATAGCCCTAACCATGATGGTATCTCAGACATCGCAGTTACTGGTATAATATATACTAGTAACACAAGAGATAGAATCTACATGGACAAGAAGTATCATTTTCACGGGTGGGGTTGAATGTTTGGGCGGAGTTCTGTGTTCTGACAACACATCTCATGTACTCATCCCACACTTGCTGTCCAGGTGTCTCATTTAATCAGGCCTGCACAACATGCTGTCCGCGGGTCATTTGTGGCCCGCCAGCACCCACTTTGCGACTCACGAAATAACGAAATATTTTATTTTCTTAATTAACTTTTCCCCCTGTCCTATATTCTTTCGGCCCGCACAAATTGTTCATAACGTCCCGCCTTACATTTTGAGTTGTGCAGGTCTGCATTAGGCAACAAATTACATTTCATGTGGCATTGTAATTTATTTCCCTTTTATGAGACATACTTTTTTTTAACGTTAACAAGCCACCTACAATAAGACAGAAATTTTTGTGACACTTATGGCAGACCCCTTTCCATAAGACATACATTTATGTGACACTATTATGAAAGAACCCTTTCCATAAGACAGACATTTTTTTTACACTATTATGACAGAACCCGTTCCATAAGACTGACATTTTTAATCTGACCATCCCTACCATAGCTGGCTTGATACGAAATTTTTGGTTGTTGAACTGTACCTCAGAAAGGTTCCCCAGAACTGTACCCCAGAACTGTACCCCAGAACTGTACCCCAGAACTGTACCCCAGAACTGTACCCCAGAACTGTACCCCAGAACTGTACCCCAGAACTGTACCCCAGAACTGTACCCCAGAACTGTACCCCAGAACTGTACCTCAGATAAATAAACGATTTTTTTTAAAGACATTTCAAATAAACTCACTGAAGAATATCAGTCGCATCCTGCAGCCGCCCACCGTCAGCAAGTGGAACACGGCGAGGCCCACCGCTCCCAGCAGGCAGTACAGGAACGTGTTCAAGGCAGAGTTGGTCAAGTGAAACTCCTTCGCCTTCCGCAAAGTGGTGTCACTGGCTTCCATACTCTGAAACCAAACAAGGACACGTTAACATTTGAAGGAAATGTTACACTCTTTCTACGAACAGCGTGCAAAGATTCTATTCAACGTCACTTTAAGGGGATTACTGAAGTACGTAAGATCAAATCTTGTTCATATTTGGGGGTCGGGATCACTGAAGTACGTAAGATCAAATCGTGTTGATATTTGGGGGTCGGGATCACTGAAGTACGTAAGATCAAATCGTGTTCATATTTGGGGGTCGGGATCACTGAAGTACGTAAGATCAAATCGTGTTCATATTTGGGGGTCGGGATCACTGAAGTACGTAAGATCAAATCGTGCTCATGTATTGGGGTCACTGCTCAGTTAAGATGGTTTAAGATTGTTCGACAGAAAGAAAGCTTGAGAGAAAGTGACTAGTGTTGAAATATATACGGGATTAGAGTGTTCTCTCGATGAAGGTAGTTCACTTCAGGAAATAATTTTAGAGGCGAATCATACGAGCCTACTGGAATGTATCAAGTGAACGGATGTTGGACATAGCAAAAGTGAACGAGTTGGATTCTGTGACCCTCTCGTCAGTGGTGTTATAGTGCTTCCGTCACATTGGTACCTGAACAGTTCACCCGTGAATCACGCTGTACTTACTGATTTACCTGCCATCTCACCTGCCATCTCACCTGCCAACAACCAGCACGTGATAAAAACCTGACAAGAAAGTATCAGCTGCTTACCGGTTCTGACCAGTAGAGTGGAAGATAGACTTCCGGTGCATTGTGTGACGTCACAAGTGCGTTGAGCTGATGACTTCGGCGTTGGTACAGGACATGGCCGGTCAGCTGGGGACATAGAATGGAGGTCATGTGGGGGGGGGGGCGATTTGGTACAGGACATGGCCGGTCAGCTGGGGACATAGAATGGAGGGCATGTAGGGGGGGGGCAATTTGGTACATTACATGGCCGGTCAGCTGGGAAGATAAAACTGAGTAGGGACATTATTAGTGTCATGTTATGGGACTGATTCTTTTTTTCTGTTTGTTCGCTGACGAAGGCTTCCTGCCGACACGTTCGTTGTTTTGTGTTTTTTGCGTTCCTTTTTTCAGGTTTGACCCTACTTTGTTTTACTCATTTCCTATTAAACTCCACGTGTATCTAAATTGTTAAATACTGTATCAGCAATGCATTTTCCCACGTTGTGATAATTACAGGTGATACAGGTAAGTATTACTTTTGATATCACCGGAGCGTGTATTTTAATGGTAGTAAAACATAAATCATTTGAAATTATTTTATGTAAATGAATTTATTTAACTGAATATCTTTATTGTAATTAATTTCTTTAGCGTGGGAATCTGTTAAATGCTTCTTACATTGTGAGAACCTTTTTTTGGCATGTTTGATGGCTCTAGGATTAACCCTACTTAGCCAATAGCGAAATGCAGAAGTGGATTTAACTATAGGTTAATCCCCCACTGGATTTAAGTAAGGGAAAATGGATACAATGAACTCTTAACATCAAACTCAAGTGACTTATAAGTTACGGTATTGATTACCTCCATTTCATTATATGTAATATATGAACTATTCAATATATAGCAGTAAGATTATAAACCGAACATAAGGACACATGTCATTTTCACCAATTACAAAAAAAACCACTGATATCATTTGAATGTCATTTTGGATAAATCTGTTGAAATATCGAAAAATCGGTTTGGACAAATAGCCTTCTCCAAAAAAACTGCTATTGGGTAAAACTTCCAAGTATCGATACTAACAAGGACACGAGTAACGATACTGACAAGAAAACGAGTACCGATACTGGCAAGGACACAGTACCGATATTTTCAAAAATAAGAGTAAAGATACTTTCAAGGATATGAGTACCGATACTTTCAAGGATATGAATACCGATACTTCCAAGGATATGAGTACCGATACTGGAAAAGATATGTTTTATAGATTACGTCAGATTTCTCCAAGGAGATGTTATAGAGAGCTTGTTTACATCATATTTCTTGTGCGTGCCCTCTGATTGACCCCGCATGAGACGCTGTGTTCACAAAGGGGTGTGGCTTAG